TCTCTATCCTAACCCGAAATGAACTTTACAATACTTCTATTTTAAGTTGTGTCCCTGAGCATCATGCAGTGTAAGAATAAACACACACACACACACACACACACGCACACACACACACACACACACACACACACACACACACACACACACACACACAAAAGACAATCTCCAGAGAGAGTCAAGTGACACTAACACCTGAAAAATGCTATCTTTCTATTCACAAAACAAAGTATTCCATGTGAAAATGTGACAGTCAGGCAGCTCCTAATGGTCATAACATAAAAAGTTATTTTTAACTCATTGTGTCATGGAAAAACTGCTCTCCCTTTCCGTTGAGACTGAAATACTCCTACCTGATTTTAGATGGAGGGCCCTGAGAGTGTAGATTATCGAGGCAACGTCTTCCCAGATCCCACCAGCCCCAGTGTCGATGTGCTGTGTCTATGAAGGTTAACGGCAACAGCGTCGGTTCTCAGTTGACACTCAGACCAGAGCCTCCTACTCAGGCGTCTGAGTCCTCTTTTGGCTCAACAGGCAGCTCACCCCACCACCAGCTTTATGGAGAACATGGCTGCCCCCAGCTGGATTCTCACGCATATGAGATCTAATACAATTGTGCAGCTTGGAAGATGTTCTTAAAAAATGACTGAGACAACAAAAAGGAGTTATGAAAAATGTGTTTTATTGGATGGATTATAAATAACTGTTACAGATACTGTAATGTAAAGTTGTTCATAGATTATATCACTGTTTGTGTCTTGAAGTGACCACAGAACTTGGGAACCTGGGAGTTTTAGTTAGAAGTCTTTTTTTTTTTTTACTTTTGTGGTCCGTTTATCAACAACAGACTTTTTTAGTCATGTCTTGAGTCAGTAAAACTGCATCTTCACATTTACGATCAAGCTGGGAGACCAACGTCCTAAAATGAAAAAAATGGAATCATTGTGCAGCAGAAACCACAACATTTGAGAATAAAAATGGGTTTGTAGTTCACACTGCTGATCCGGGTGCATTGCCCCATGTCTGGTCTATGATTAAAATGAGGAGATACACTACACTCAGATTCTAGTTTATCAGGTACATCCCCCTTTATATGTATTATAGTAGAATACATTCGTTAAAAGTGTTAAAACAGTTAGTAATTCAAATGAATAATCAGCAACAAACATTTTCTAATTCCAGTCTATCGATTGTGAGGATTTGCATACGCTTGAGTGTACCAACAAAATGCAAACACGGCAGATACAAACCTTTTGCAGGCTCTAGATGTGGACAGCAAAGAAACAAGATGCCATACCTAGCCAGATGAGTCATCAGCTCCTCCATGTTACATCCACTTTTAGCACTGCACTCGTAAAACAGAGCTTGGTGCTGCTGTATAATCCAGGAAGTGAAAAAAACTAAAATAAATGACAGACTTATTTCCAAGATAATGTTCAGGGATTAGCGGTGTCATTGTGAGTAAATCACCGCACAAAGTTGTTTGAATATTCAAATGTGCCTCACCTCTGCTAGTCCCTGCCCCTCGGATGTCGTCACTCTTCTGCTGTGTGTGTCTGCCAGGTCCAGCTTGTTCCCCAGCAGCATCAGTACCGCACCTTCACACATCTTCTCCTGGGACAGACATACAACACACTTTAACAACACAACATTGTTGAGGGAAAAGATATCACAAAATCTACACAAAACATCAATCTAAAATCTGTGTTCATATTTATCACGCAGATGGGAAATGTTTATATAGAAATGTGTGTATAGTCAATCACAAGCATGTGTATGCAAATGTATCCTAAACTGTTTTGCATGTGTTTCTCCAGCTGTTTACCTTCACAGAGTCCATCCACCCTCTCACAGCGGTGAAGGTGGAGGGTTGAGTCACGTCATACATGGCAAGGATACCGTCAGCTTTACGGTAGTACTGCTCAGTGATGCTGCTAAACCTGAACACACATAAGGAATAAGAAAAAAATAAAGAAAAAAATACAAAAAATAGCTCAATATGAAAAATGAAAAATATCCTAAACCTAAAATGGCATGTAAAATCAAAGTCAACTTTATTGTTAATCTTTCAGTTTGTGTGTACAGACAATACAATCATGTCACAAAAAAGCACAAGAGGGGTAATCGCAGGAATCTGACCTCTCCTGTCCTGCAGTGTCCCACAGCTGCAGGGTGACGGTGATGGAGCCCAGAGACAGGCTCTTCATCTGGAAATCTATACCTGGAAGCAACAAAGACCTATGTCATATGTTTGACATATATTTACTCAGGAGCACATTAGCCATTGTGAAAGAGTGAAAATAAAATAACAGCTTACCTACAGTAGTGCTCATTTGACTATAGAAGTGTCCTGTGCAGTAGTGCTGGATGAGGGAGCTTTTACCCACCCCTGAGTTACCAAGGAATACCACCTTGAACACTCGCTGAGGACTGACAATTGTGCTCTAAAATTCAGGTAAAAGGACCACACTTATCATTTGTTTCTTTGCATTTAAGAGAATACATATTTGTTTATATAGCGCAATATTACAAATGACACATTTGACTCTTTACACAGCATGAGATACCTTTTGTCTTTAGACCCTCGCAGCAGACAAGAAAAAACTCCCAAAGAAACCCCACAATTAACTGGGGAAAAAAGTGGAAGAAACCTCAGCGAGAGCAGCATTAGAGGAATCCCTCTCCCAGGACGGACAGCCATGCAATAGATGTTGTGTATAGATTAAAAAACATATATATTTAATGTACACTAATGTAATCATAGCAGTGCAGATTATAACAAGCCTCTGAGCAGCTGGTTTATCAATAAAGAGCTTTAAGTGTGTTATAAAATTGATGCATTTGGGATTAATGTTATTATCATTATGTTCCCTACCTGAGTTTGCACCTGCTCAACATTTTCACACCCGACTCTACATGACGGTTGGTGTCTCTTGGATGAATTTGTCACTTCTGTCTCTTTTTCCTGCTCCGGCTCATCGGATGAGCTCAGCGGTCTTTAGAATCAATGAATACACATAACATTAGTTGCTGCCTAGCATTAATGCAAATATGATAAATGTGATGTCGGTGGGGTTGGTCATACAAACCTTTTCAATGGCTTGTCTTGCAGTAAGTAGTTACCTATGATTGACCCTTGCTTCCTCAAAGGCTTTGTGACATTTGGATTCTAAAGGATTTTCGTGAAAAGTAAGGCAGAAGAAATGAGAAGCATTAAGGTTTGTGTAATTTGTAAGATGTGTTTCAATGGTTATTTCCACTGTATTCTCTGAAGACATACTTATTGTTTCACAAAGGCAGATGTTTAAAAAGCAAGAAGTTTATTCTACTGCATAGAAGTTTAACATCATCATCATTTATCACCAATACACTTGTTTGATTACAAACTATTTGACAAGACAAATATACAAGATAGAAACAGCAGGTGTTTGTTTTGTAGTATCTGTAAATGATCTCGCTATTATCCATCCCTATTCTTTAGAGTTGGACACAGCTAGTTAGCTTAGGCTAGAAATGGCATTGGTTTACGTTACAACCTGTCTATACACAGACAAACAATACATAAATCATTTGTTCAGAAACTTTGATCAAGATACAGTCTTGGAAGAATTTCTAAAAAAAAAAAAAAAAATGTTACAGGTTTGGCAAAACTGTCATATTTAAAAATGTGGATTGGATAAAGGGAACCTGTGTATAATTATCAGTCCTTCAATATAATAAGGATTGGTAGTTAGTTAAATACTGACCCATTTTGTTCACCTTCAATATTAAACATACACATGCTTTTCTCTTCAAATTGGCACAGATAGAATAAATGTCGTTTCAACAAAACCCTTCACTCCATTGAGTACCTTTACAAGAAAGGTCAAAAGTGCTGACATCCCAAAACCCCAAACAGGGTCACTGAACAAACGCTCAATGAATAACCACCAATAAAAGCTGCCCATATAAATAATCATTGTCCAGAGGATGAAATAAAGCATGAAGCCGTTCATAGACTTAGCTTATGTTGGATAAATCTGCTGTGTCCACGGGGTACAAAGGTCTTCACTGAGGTAATAAGTGAGAGGCAGAGGAGGAAGGACAGAGCCTCTGTGACTAACCCTCTTCTGAGACTGCTGGGCGTCTTTCTCATCTCGCAGCCTTTTGTTCATGTCCCTGACACAGAGAGAGAAAATCAATTAAAACAGAGACCACGCCTTTTACTGTTTAAAGGTGGGTTAGTAAAAAAAAAAAAAGGAGAGTTAACACACCGGGTTTGCATAAGTTCCTTACAGACTTTTTTCATTTACACATTTTGTGGAGAAATGTATTTTACTTCAAAACATATGAACTTGATTAAAACAGCAACAGTAGTTATTAAGACCTACCTCAGCAGCTCCAGCTGTTTGAAAAGACTTTCTTTCTCTTTCTGCATGTTCCTCGACACCTTCATCACGTTTCTACATTGGAGCAAACAAAAGATTGATGACAATTCATCCATGTTCTTCTGATTGTCGACAAATCCCAGGAAAAGACCAAAACCAACAATAAATGATTCATTTTTAGCGCTGCCTATTCCGCCAAAACCTGATATACTTGAACTCCTTCATTACGATGAACAAGGTCACTGTAGTTGAATCCATGTTGATTCCACAAACACCGTCTTACTGCTACTACTCACCAGCAAATACCAAATGTGTGTTGATATACAACATAACAGTCCCCAACTAAAACAATTCTTTCTAAAGACCAACCAAAATAACAACAACAAAGAAGAAACTAGTTTATTAGAAAAAAAACCGTTTTTGTTTTATTTATGACATGCCGTTATCCCTCACCTCTGCTTGGACACTTGGTCCTGTGTGGAGCTGAGCTGCATCACATTGAGCTGACCCAGGGCCAGCTGCAGCTGCTCCCGGCTGCTCTCCACCTGCTCCTGCAGCTGCACGTTGAGGCTCCGCAGCTGCTGGTTCTGCTCCTTGATGTTTACCTGTTCACAGCTCAGCTGCCGGATTCTGGTCTCCAGCTTAGGATAAAGACAGGTCCGGATGATTTACTCATAAAACTGAAACTCTTTAGGAAAACTTGAGTACTGTTTGTACACTTACCTCTTTCTGTTTAGTCAGAGTATTCTCCAACTCCTGCTCCCGCATATTCAGCTCCTCCTTAAGTTCTTGTCCTCTCTGCTTCTTTCCAATACTGTCCTTTAATTCACAAGAAATTCATTTAATGCTATTATCGTGAACACAAAGGTAAATGGCACAAAGGGTGGACTATATAGCACAAGTATGTACCTGAGCCAGGTGTTTCTCTCTCTCCTCCCTGATTTGGTTTTCCATTTCTTCATTTAAGGACCGAACAACCTGGTCATGTTCGATCTCACGTCTAAAACAGAAACAGTTGATTGATTTTGACTCACAGTTGATGAGTGGTTTGTGAGGACATTGGGAGGAAGTGTGTACCTGCGTAGAGCTTGCTCCAGGCTGTCTCTCTCTCTGATGGAGTCCTGCAGATTGGACACTGCGTGGATCAGGACGCCCTCCAGGATGCTCAGCAGCTCCGGTCTGTCTCTCTGGAGTTCACACCACACAAAGGAGAGCTCCTGCTGACTGACACACAACACACAACTGTTAGAGCGGCTGAGGACCTTAGCAGCACAACACCAATCACTAACAGTACAACAGGTGCAGGGTCTTAATCGTAATGTTCAGCTTTGGAATGAACTCTGTGATTACTTTGAAGGATATAGTTGGATTTGTTTTGCATTATTCAGGAAGTTGTTTCTACTATTTCACCACCACACTCTTGACAATGAAGGTAGGCTAAATAACAGAAACAACTCTGAATTAAACTGCATTAAAGCCTGGTTTACCTGATAAACTGAGTGTAAATGGTGCTCTTCTGTTGCTAGTTTTCAAGTCATGAGTAATACAAGCGTTAAGTCTAAAATAAAATAAACAGATATAACTTTATGACATTGATCTTACTCTTTAAAGACTTTGTCAGCGCCCAACTCCGTCAGTATGTTAACCAGTCTGAGTGCAGAGGGGTCCTGGGACCAGTCCACCTGCTCTGTAGCTGCTTCTGTTTCGACTGGACTCAGCTCAGTCGTATCATCAAGCCCCACAAACTCACCTGCAGCAGGCAGAGGAAGGCAAAGAGGATTCGTGAAAAAACCGTGGCTTTCCTCTCAAAGTCATGGAGAACTAAGTTCTCAAATCCCTCACAACTGCACATTTAACAATGGGACGGAACTAGAAAAATATTTATATATATATTTTCAAGACAAATGGATTAATTTAAACTATATTTCATATATTAAATATATTCAGTGTAATATGATTTATAAAATTGAGAAATACAGTAAATCTCCATATTTGAGAGGCAGATAAAATATTTTTGTATAAAAAATTAATCAAGTGACTATTTCTATGTCGAGTGACTAAGCTAAAATGGACTTTTCGTTGCAGCTCTACTCACCAAATCCTGTTTTAAACTCAACAGGAGTGAGGAATCCATTGCTCTCTCGGTCCAGACTCTCAAAAACGGTCTCCAGCTGCTCAGGGGACAGAGGCAACTCCCCTTGTAGCCTCTGGATAGAGAAAACAAAGTTCAAGATTCTACAATTAACTTAAATGTTGTTATTCTACCGCATCGGATGCTCACCTGCATATCCCGCTTCGTGATGAACCCCTTCCCCTCCTTGTCACACAGCACAAACAGCTCCTTGGCCTTGCCCATGGTCTCTGCCAGGGGGCTTAACGGCACCGCTTCTCTGGCCCGGCTTGAGGTCAGCGGACTGCGTGCCCTCCGGCCCGGCCTGGGGCTCCCAGACGGGAGGCCCCGGGGTCGGGGGCTCACAAGTACTGCCTCCCCACTGCCCTGACCCACCAGCACTTCACCATCATTCAGCCATTTAGACATTCTGCACTGAGGCCGACAGGTATAGGCTGGGAGTTGGAGAGCGTTTCTTTGAGTTTTATTGATGACTTTTAGTGTGTCATTTGGGGAACTCTTCTGTTTGCCTCGGAGTCATGACAAGTAGACCTGTAATGTGAAGCATGACAAACAATCAATAAAACATAAATGTGTCATCATAAATAGTGAAGAAATACTAACCATTATCTGGTGAAATGGGAGGATAGGATACTTGTATTTGTCTTATGGAATTATAAACTTTGGTCTAACAAGAGGAATATATTTAAAGCCCTAATGAGATTAATTAAATCTATGTATGTATGAACATAAACAGTTTGAGGCCTAATCAGAGACCTTCACTTATTAACCAGAGTGAATAAAAAGACACTTTGGATCTTCTCTCTCTGTGTTGCAAGATATTGTGAGAAGCTGGCCTAAAGGTCCTCCCTTGTCAAACATGAGGTGCAAAACAAACGCTGTGACTGTACACATATTCTACAGCTGCTGTGATCAGGTGTCGGGCATGTCCAAACTCTACAGTAGACACTTGTACAACTGTTTGAGGGACATGAAGGAAAGTTACTTTACATTTCTATATAAATTGTTCATATTCTAGGCCAGGTCAAACATAGATCCCTAGCTTTACGCAGCATAAGCAGTTGCCCCCACTGTTAATGAAGAGGAGGCGCATTTAAAAACATGTGATGATGATGCCACTACTAAAGCTTGCCCTATACCAGGATGTGTGATGGTAAAAAAACCAGGATGGTGTCATGTGAGGAGAGTTTCTGTGTACTCGAAGGGGAGGGAGGATTGCCTGGGGAGAGGAGATGCAAATAAAACATTTGCAGTTTGTTTGCATTGACTGAAATACCACAATTGTATACAGATTTCACTCTTGAGAACTGCGCTGAAAATGTGCCTCAGTATCTCCACAAACACTCAAAAAACAGTTTTTTATGATGGATACAAGATTGCATGTAATCTGTCTTCCGTTTGGATGACATCGCTATTACACAGGAAGAGCACATCAGCATAAATCATACATGGTTTATTTTAAATTGAATTCAAAACAATTAGTTTCAAGTTAATGTTGATTTGTCAGTGCCTCTCCTTCCAGTATCTCTAGTTATCTTTGCTATCTAAAATCATAAAACCAATATCTAAGAATATGCACTGGCTACTCCTAAAGCATTTAGCTGATGATCTATGCAGATCGAAAGTTCTTTATAACATAAAGATATGCTAGGATCCCAGATAAGGCACTTGTGCAAACATTATGCTTTGGATTTTGTAAGTAAGTAAACCAACAGCCACACCAAAGGTCAGATAAACTTACAAACTTAACACACACTATTTCGCAAAGTCGGTAAGTGAAGCGCCGTGTTGTAGCAAATTACCACTTCTCAGGGAAAGTGAACAAAGTTTACAACGTGTCGTAGGCTACAAAACTGTCAGTCAAAGGTCTAACACTTTCTGAGATAAATGTCAACACAAGACGACACTCGGTCTAACTTTATAAAACATATGTTTAAAAACACTGACAGCTCTGATCAACATCAAGTTGATATTCAGTAGCCAATATTTGCTAAATTCAGAATAGCGACTGTACCAACAAGTTTGAGAGAAAATGAGCTTGGCAACTTACAGTAAAATACATCGCTTACATGCGCATTGTAGCTAGCTAAGGTAACTAAACCCAAGATAGTGAAGTAATGCACATTTATTATTAAAGAAGAAAGGAACCCCACACAACAGTTAGTCGGTTGTTAATCCACCAAGGCGGGAAGAGTGACCATAAGCGTATTCATATTTCTAAATAACATTGACTGTGTTTTATATAAATTCAGAGAAGTTGTAGAAACTTGGTGGCTACTCACCTGTAGTGTACTGGACCCAGGTGGCCACTGCCTTTGATCAGTTTAGTGCTGCAGTCACTTTACGTACTGACGTTAGCCGCTGGGTGGCAGTGACCACTGTGTTTGATGAGAGTTTACCGTAGTGTGTGGAGTAGCACGAACATTGAATACCCACACTTTCCTTGCCTAACATGTTTCTTCATTGTTTTTTCTTTCACACAGCAGCTTCGTTTGAAAGCATGTAGGAAAAACAATCAATTTAAAGCAACTAAAATGATACGGTGATCTCAATTATTGCTTTTAACTAAATATTCTTGAACCTATCTCTTTGCTATTACGGTAAGTAGGAGCGTTACCATGGAAGTTACGGAAATACATTCGTTGCCGCTGAAAAGCAGCAGTGGAGGCTCAGAGTGGTTAGCATTGTCTGCAAAAAAGTAGGATATGAACATTGTAATGTTTCTTCTTGGCTCGATATGACTTCCTTTATTCTTCATACTTTGTTCTGGTAAGTGGGCGTCATTTCGTACATGTGAAGCTGTGATACAACAGTAGGAAGAACCAGTGTTATGATGGTAACGAAGCAAAACGTGTCTGGAGGGAGTTCCTCGAAGTTAAAAACCGAGGTGTGCTATAAAATACAGTGATTTGTTTAGGTTGTAAAACAGTTAAATAACTATATCATGCGTCTCCAGGATTATCTGCATCTGGTACTATAAATAACCTTAGGCTACCGTCGTGGGTAGAGTAGATGAAGAGAAAGGGAGTGTGTCAACAACAAAACAAGAGTGGTGTTCACGTAGTTCAAATTAATCTGTAATCCTATGGTTGTCATCTCCATGTTTGTTTGTGTAAGAGTATGTGTGTGTTTACGGTGCACGGTTAGGTTTACTGCTAAATTAGCTGTATGCACGATACTGGAGAAGGCCATGGCAAAGATATAAACAATCACAATGCTTATTTTCTCATAGCATACAACGACCTATCTTTTGTCTCACTGCTCAGTGCTTCAATGTTCTCTCCTTCAGGAAATGCAGCTGACGAGGACACTTTCCACATCAAGGATGTCAACATGCAGCATATGAAAATATCTCAAACATCTAATCTGGTATCGTGGACTGCATTCAATCATCACCAAGACACTTTTCCCTGAGGACTATAAACAACATGTTTATGAACAGAGGGACTAACTGGAGTGGGGATAACCTAAAACAATAGAACATATTAGTAATAAGTATTTTGACTATGTGAATGGAGAAGTCATGTGAGTACTTTCTGCCTACTGTAGTCTAGACCTCTGCAGTTTCTCTGTACTGAAGTATGTAGAGGGTGAATCTGAAAAGACTTGTGTCAACATCAAGTACCTAAGTTTTGCAAGTCTAAAGAAAACAGCCAGAAGCGAGGAGGTGAACAGACTGTGAGGTTTGGTGCTTTGCAAGATCCATCCCTGAAGATGCTGCAGACTGGTAACTTCTCACTGGTGCTGCTAATCCAGCTGACACTGTTGGCCTATGACCTCTTCGTCAACTCTTTCAGTGAACTCCTGAGAGGAGCACCGGTCATCCAACTTGTGCTTTTCATGTAAGTCACTGAACTGTATGTTAAAATGATTTTGTATCTGTCATTAAGTCACAAACATGCTCCAGCTAATTGATTTCATTTTTAATACCAATTTGTTTAAGTCATTGATTAAGTATTTTATAAGTCTAGCATTTTAAATTTGACTTTTTTCATAAAATTGGTTGTGGTTTTCATTTGGGGTAGATGGACTATAACATATGTTTAAGGCTGAAAATATAATACATTTAAGATTGATTGATTGATTGATTAATCACACAAAGTGAATACATTAGCACTTAACCAAGGATTTATACTATTGAGATGCTCATACGCTATTTTGCTTTACTTATAGAAAGTCTTGTCACTCTTCGTGGTTTATCATCATTGAGGTTGTAAAAATAAATGACTTTCATTTTCTACTCTTTTAGACCAACCATTACTGTTTCATAACAATATCCTGTATAGTGAAGCTTTGTCAAATATGGTTAAAACCCACATAACTGTATTTTGTTCACACATGACTCATTCCATCAGAAACCAGAAATACAAATGAACCATTAACATCTGTGTCTACAGCATGCAGGACATCGCCATCTTGTTCAACGTGATCATCATTCTGCTGATGCTGTTCAACACCTACGTGTTCCAGGTGGGCCTGGTGTCCCTGCTGCTGGAGAGGTTCAGGGCGCTGCTAATCATCTCTGCTCTTTACCTGACGCTCAGCATCTGCTTCCACTGCTGGGTGCTGGTAAGCTTTGTTACACCAACACAGAACCTGCATTTCAACTAGCTCAAGTAAACACTAAATCATGACAAAAACATTGAAGTGAGCGATGTCATATCACAACTTAGATTTCTTTCATTTTTTGCATTAGTCTTAGCTTTTATAATTGTAATTTATTTTGGTTTTGATTCTTTTTTCTGTGTCTCTGTATGCACCACTTATACCAAATGTGAATTCCTCGTATGTGTAAATCCACTTGGTAATAAAACTGATTAACGGTGGACACTTAACTTATACGTTTTATTTTTTTTTTAGAACCTCCGATGGTTTCAGTCAAACCAATTTATTTGGACTGATGGCATTCAGGCTCTTTTTGTGTTCCAGAGAACAGGTAAGGGATGGCTTAATTTACAGAATAATTTCCCTTTGCAACTAATGAGTTTTTCGTATTAGTTGAGTAAATGTTACTTTTTTCTGTCAACAGCGGCAGTGTTGTATTACTACTTCTACAAACGCACAGCAGAGTGTATGGGTGACCCGAGGCTGTATGAAGACTCTCTGTGGCTGCGTAACATCTTCACCAGAGCTCGTCAGTGAAGAAGAGACAGTTTTGAGGAAGACTTTAAGGAAAATATTTTTGTATTATTTGTACATCTATGAATCACACTATGTTAACTTGGAAAACCCTGTTTAACTTGCGTATCTGAAAGTTGAACGGATACATTTCTTGGTTAACTGAAGTAAATGGGGTCGTGTTTAACAACAGCTGTTGACAAACTTACATGTTTGCTATTTTGTGATACTTGTCCACCTGTAAGACGGTTTTTTCAGAAGTTGGTTAAAGCAGCCCCCATTTATTTTCCCTTTAGAGGCTTCAGAAAACAGTTGTCTGCAAGAATTTAAGCTCATCATATTGGGGATGAGGTATTCCTTCAAAAGGATCTGGGATGGAAGGCCCTTCTGACATTATAACACCAAGCATCATTATTAGCTATTCAGAATTTTTGACTATTTTCACAGCAAAGTCTCAAGCTGTTTGTTTATTTGTGCTTCATCACCAAATGAGGAATTGGTTAAACAGCTTACAGTGTCAGGTAAGCCAACCATAGTGGTATTGTATTAACCAGGATTGTGTCTGGTAATCTATGTGGCCTTTGTAAATCAATTAGAGTGGCAGACAGCATGAGAAGCATTGAAAGAACATTAGTAAGATTTCAGTGTTTGCAAATGGCAAGTTTGTTTTGTAGTGAAGTAATTTATCCATAAAACATGTAGTCATAGTTTTTTTGAAAATGTATGTTATTCCCTCCTCAAAGGAAGAAAATGGTTGGTTTGTTTGGCCTTATGTAAGGTTATTATGTGCTGTTTACATGGTTAATGTCATTTTAATAAGCCAATGTTCAAGTGAACTCTCTTCTCTGGGTGGGAATCTTTGAACAGCGTTCTCGCTGTTTTTAAATAAATAATCCTTCTCTAATCCTGGTGTAATCCTTTCTTCACTCAAGTCAGTGTTGACCTGTAGACAAGGTGAAGACTGCCCTATATTTAACACAAAGATTAATCAGGGCTTGAGGGTTTAAGGCACCATAGTGAAACACACCATAAATAGTCTTTAGGGTGTCAAAATAACATTCTAATAGCTAGAAAACAACAGTTCCATTGAACTATTGGTCTCATCTAAATAAGAATTGATAGACAGTTTTTATACAATTATTAAAATATATGTGATCCATGGATTTGAGCTATTCATGCTGATATCAGGCTGAACAAAGAAGGACACCAAAAGTTGTACAAATCCCCTTTACTCGTGACAAGAAAACCAGAGTCCATATGATCCTATTATGTTGTCAGTGCACTCCAATGAAATCCAGATTATGTGATGAGTGATGTCCTTCGTTCCAATGGAATGTGTCATGTTCTTTCAAATCGGTCACACAAAACTGGAGGAAACGAGAGGAAACAAAGTTAACTTTAACAAATCTGTTTCAGTGATTAATAACAACAATAAAATAACTACGAGAGTTTAATAAGATGTCGAATGTACCTTCATACATAAATGCCAACCCAGAGTAGTAAGAACAGCACACCGAAGCCCATAAAGAGTGAAGCCACGAGGGAGATCAGCAGCTCTTTGTAGACGTCCCTGGTGTATTTTGTTGATGTTACCTCGTAGCTGATGAGAAGTTAAGGGCCAGCCATAAAAAAAGTACAACCAACAGCCAAGTTTTGAACTCTTTGACAATTCTAACGCCTCCTGTTGTCTAGCTTAATATGCAATTGTCCTTAGCTTACTATGTTTAGTGTCATTCTGAATGCTTTGATGAACTTTACATAAAATCACTGTTGAAAAAAGTCAAAATTGAAAGCAATGAAAAACGTGCAAAAACGGAGGATAATTCAAACATAGTCCTGTTTTAACATTTAAGATTTAAACAAACTATAGTAACACATGCTGACTTTTTCACCTTCCTTAGTTCCAATTGTGGATTTCTTCCCTTATCAAGCATTTTGACTCTGAACGACAACTATGATATTTTTATGTTAACAATTTCGTTATAAACTGATGACATTGAAGCCAAATTAGCTTCCGCTATATTTTAAAGATACGATTGAAATTGAACAAAATATATATCTGTAATAATCCCGTACTACACAGGAAAACAATGTGGACAACCCATAGGTTTAACCTAAAGCAGGAAGAAAGTTTATAAAGTGCCAAGTTGGGTACCTTTATTTTTTCTACCAAATAAGTACAGCTGAAGTGGGAGTTTGTGTTCAAGTGTATGTGAGCATCTGACTGCTTGTGTTTGTTGCTTTATCAAAGCCTAATTATTATTTTGTAATGCCAATAACCAACTCTGTAAGTTATGTGTTATTGTAACCAACTAAATCAGGGGCTGAACTATGAACTTGAAGTAAGATGCTCTATATAACATGTAGAAGCACTGATATGCTGCTCAACCTAATCTTGTACCGTGTTACTGCAAGTTGCTATACTTCGGTAGCCTAATGTGTCCTGTAGCACGTAAACAGTGTTTTGTAGAAAGCAGTAGTGAAAGGATACACGAAGAACCAGGCGGTGAAGAACATGCCGATGGCCAGCAGGACCACGGTGAGGTGGGGGAACACAGCCGGGTTCACCGGGCTGGTGTATCTGGTCATAGCTTCGAGTTCCTGCAGCCACAGAGGAAAGGATAAAACCAGGTTAAAAAAATAACATACAGCACAAACACCAGCCATGAACGCCTATCATAATGCACCGCGTCAATGGCGTTTAAATAGTTTTGAGACACGTATATGTGGTTTTATTAGAGCCGCGACATCACTGGATTTGACATGAGAAGCTAATGTTGCTACTTTGCCTATCTACAACGTTAGCTACGCCAAGGATACAATCACATAGAAAACGAATTATTTTGCTGGTTAAACTATGAACATCGTATAACGAAAAACCGCTTAACATTGCATAATACAAATAGAAAGTCAATAAACACGATAGATTTAAGTTATTTTACCATTTTGCTTTGCAGAGGAGCTCCTTTTTCTATGGTCCAAGATGATAAGGCCACGTACTGACTATCACTTCCTGGTTTTTGCGTGACGTACAGTTGACGTTAGACAAAAAGTGTTTTTTACCCCTCAGTTGAGCTTCTCAGGCTGGCTGCAGGCTGCAAATGCATTCCCTATTAGTAATTCCGTTTTTGTATAACATTTGAGTCACTCGGATTCATAACATAGAAGTTATTAAAACATAAATCGTGAAATTATGAAAAATATTTGTATAACATAGAAATTAACCACTAAAACACAATATGAGCAATTGTGACTATGTAGTGACACATTTTGGTAGTACATTTCAGCTACTGGGAAACATAAGCCTACATGACAATTATCAAGAAAAACAGGCGTCAATATTTATATAAAATGTATGAAAACTACGCTGGGACTGGGACAACTCGACCTTATGGCTTACCGGCTGTCCGCCACCTGAACGGCTTATATCGGGGCATAACGTTTAAATGTAATTTGTTGTCATAAATCATCTGCTGCCACCTATTGGACAAAATAAGCATTTTATTTTTGATCTAATGAAGTTTAGCAATCAAACAAAACAGACAATTCAATCACAAATGTATTTACTACATGCATTTACATAGTATTACAACATTTCTTTTAACAAAAGGCTTTGAAAGTGTAACAATAAAATGGGCAACAAAGATAAAGTAGTGAGTATAAAGTAGTACTCAAAGAGTTTTAGTGTTATGGTATTTTTCCTTGAAGAACAGTGCTACAGTTGGAAATGTATTATTTTGAGTGTGTGTGTGCTTGTGTGTGTGGTCGTGTGTGTTTATGTGTTTGTGTGTTTACAGTCTTGTCAATCATTTATGGGCTCCATTAAATGTTAATATATTATCGATAATACAACAACCAACCAAAACATATCAACTATAAAAACAAAATGATAAAACACATCAGATAAAAAGGAGCATTGGTAGTAACACAATGAAGCTATACAGTTACATGTAATGCAGTTCTTACAGAGTTTATGGAAACAGTCTGGTGCACCGGATAGAGCAAAGCAGTTCATATATACAGTGCAAAAAGTGCTACAGTGGTTTCAATATGCTAGCTAGTGCATTATAAATAAGCTAAAATAGTACACTATACCCACTGAAATCATAGTAATTATACTGGAAGCATTGTATAGTATCTCAATGTCATGATAAATTCCATACACTTTTGTCTGATGGCTGTTTTTCCTATTGAGTATTGATTTTACATTTGACATACATTATTCTGTTTTTTTTCTTTCTGAATACAGACACATATGGGGAATGAATTTTATAACATAATACAAAATAAGTAGGGTGGTAAAAGTAAATGGAGAATGGTTTTAAAACAAGAAAGCATTATAGAAAAGAAAACATCATACACTTCGGTTATAATCAAAGTGTTATCACTGCATGGTCTTAATTGCATAGGCACAGACAAAGTATTCAAAATATCCAAGGAAATACACAAAATAGTCCAGTGTATATTATCCAATTTTATCTCTGCAGTGTACAAAAAGAAATGCAACTCCTTCTCAGCTTCATGATCGAGCCATTAAAATGGAATTTCTTTAGCTGAAGCAGCCTTTGAGTTGCCTCTGAGCTGAGATGTATCATTTTAGAGAAATGATTGGACATGCACCTGAAATATTTGCAGTTTATTGCCCTGCCAGCAATTCATCCAGTTAGCAAAATACAGTGTAAGCTATTCCAGTGTCTCTTGAAATATATTGTCAGTGTTTGACTTGTTGCATTTCCATTATCAGATGCCAGGAGCTGTCAGTGTTTTACATTTTCATTTCCAGTGATTTTTTTCCGGATCCAGTTTTATAGAATGTCTTTCAGTGAATCTGCTAATAACGTATGACTTATAAACCTTAATTTTAGGTACGATAATAAGGATGTCTGGATAGAGGATAGAGTATCCATATAACATTTAAAAGGAACATATCATGCTAATTTTCAGGTTTATAATTGGATTTTGATGTTTTTTTAGAACATGCTTTAATGTTCAAAAAACACATTATTCTCACCGTACTGTCTGTATGAATGAATATATCTGTATAAACCTCTTTCTAAAAGGCTCCTTTTGGGTGCCTGTCTCATTAAGTAGCCCCCCCCAAAAAAATCTGCTGTGATAGGATTGCACGAAAAATATGGCATACCTTTTCATAAGTATTTCTCCAGCTGTTTGTGTTAGCAGTCAAACTGGGGCCGATATATTGTAATGTCACATACAGTAGGAATGCGAGCATATTTTTTCCTGATCCAGGCAGCCCACATAAAACTGACTGGGTTGTCTTATTTCACAGTTCATGAATTGCTAGGCACTCTAGCCAAATGTTTCTTTATAATATGTCCCCATAAATGTAAGAATTTAATGTTTCATGTAATGTCAGAGTTTAGATAGACATACAGCACACTATTTCTTCTCTGTGCAGTGTTTAGTCAGATGCTGCGTGAGCAGACAGCAGACAGTGTAGTCGACTGCAGCAGCCTCCAACACAATGCTCCACTGTACACACCCAGGGTTTGCCAGTGTGCACTACTGAGGTATAATTTCAGTGTGAGCTGCAACCATTCACTGAGGACTTCAGCGAAAGCCAATGATTTCCTCTCCAGTGTATCAAACTATTGTGTTTTTGTTTTCAGTTGACACTGGTTTCGGTGTACATACAGATTCATTGTATAAAAAAAGAATCATAAATGTATGCAGAGTCATACCGTTTCTTAGCCTGGACTTAATTTAAAAGCTTAAATTCTGCTAAAAAGTAATTATGGCTTCTATAAAGTATGGACTTGGTGATCATTAATAAAAATGAGCAATAAACGTATGGTCTCAGTTAACAGTGACACAACACAGTCGACAATTACAGAGATCTAAAACATTTTCAGTGACCTGTTTCACACTCCAGTGATCACAGCAGAAAGAGATGTCTTAATGTATAAACATATGGGGGCGATTACAGTGGGGACAGTGGTATATCGTTTCTGTATGAAGATCTTTAAAAAATAATGTACAATAATAAGACAGAAACCCATCCTATAATATCAACAGTGTACAAATGGAACCACAAAGGGAAACTGTGGTGTATTGTAAAGACACTGGGACACATCGTCTTCCTTCTCATACACAGCTGCTCTGGATGAGAAAATGGTAGTCGGAGTAGGGTGATGTTTCTCCTTCAGAGGCACAGCTCACTTCACTCTGTCCATGAAAAGCAGGTGGAGACAAAATGCAATAATCAGTCGTTGACTTCATTCAAACTAACTCCTACAGGAAATGGATCACAAGTGCTACTGGGCAAAATTGAAAAAATCAAACATATAACTTTTATTACCAACTACCTCAAGTTTAATATTTCGTCAATATTGTAACTATTTTATGCTTTCATAAAATACAAAGGAAAATTGACAGTAATATGGATATAATGACATATAAGAGGATTAAGCCAGAAAATAGAACAGCTAGAGTTTTGTAGTATTATAAAGGACATTACTTTACTGTAAAGCAGACTTTAAAACCCACTAAAAGGTGACACTGATGCCATATAACGATATACAATATACAAAATTTAAGTCGATATCAAGTCTATTCCAGTATATTGATATCATATCATATAGATCAAACAACACAACGCAGTGCCTGAAAGCTTTTAGTTTACTCACAGACAGGGAGACACGGAAGTGATAGGCGATGTCCTGGAAGGACAGCACGGGCACTGACCACAGGTGATGAGTCCCCTTAGAGGAAAATATAAAGAATATAGAGAGTCAGCAAGATAGTCATTTGCAATGTTGCCTTTACATACATTTACACTCCCTTGTGGATCTGAGAATAACACAAGAAAAGATGAAGCAAAATAACTAAACAAGACAGCAAGTCCATACAATCAATACATTTAAACAGCAGGCAGCAGGTTAGCTGTTTTATTTGTTATAAAAGGTTACATTTTAAATTACGATTGAATATGCTACATGGTACTTTGTCACCTTTTCTTTAAGGCCACTTTACAAATACAAGTATAAATAAAAATGACAAAGAAGAAAACATGTTTTGATTATATTATGGATAATGATTATCAATGTGTACCTTTGTTGATGTTCTCTGTCCACCATAGAGCTCTGTCTCTGTGTGGTTGGGGCACAAACGTCCCTTCGTGGCTCCACATTGTTTTACCCACACGCTGTTCGTAGACCTGCAATTCAATCATTATGTTCCGTGTCTCTGTGCCATACAGTTGACATGTTTTATTAGCTGCACAGGTAACACTCTCAAATGTATCTGTTGACTAAAATGTGGCATTTGTTGTAGGGAAAATGTCAAATGTATTAATCTAGTATAACATGTGTGAAATGTAGTTTAGCTAGTATAGCAACTAACCGGAATGAATTGACTGGTGTACCAAAAAGCTTGTCTTGTTTTTCATTCAACATAATTAGTGCCAAATGACATGGTTCTTTACAGCAAACCTCCTAGGAAATTATCCGTAATTTAGAGATCCATAAAATAAAGCACTACCAGTGCAGGTATTCGGATAGGTTGATGTTTGTATACTCACGTCATGTGCAAAGTGATTTGTGAGATGGAGGAATTTCTGTTTCCAAGGAGTGAAACTGTGTAGCTAGAGTCAAAAGAGAATCATAAAATCAGCATTAAGCATCAAGACCTGAATTCAAACTCTAATTGTGTAAAAGGCAAACTAACAGAGAATGGAAAAATCAAAGGAAAACGTCAATAAATAATTGCAGAACAAAACGTAAATCACAGGCTATACTTCAAAATGACAAAATCTTAACTCTACTTAACCTGTTTGAGAAACTTTCAAGGACATAATAACATAGCTATTATTCAAACACCTATTTTGTGAATATCAAGTAGGCAAATGGTGTCCATCTCTCCAGTAGCACTAGAGACTTGGAGAATCAATGGCAAGGAGCATTGAAGCTGTTTTAGCGTTTTTTAGGGGACCATCACGTCTTTAATACACTTTACATAGCTTTTTTGATTCGTCACCCATCTGTACAATGTCAACTCAAAACTATTAGACGAATATACCTGCAGCTTTCAGGAGTTGCACAACTTCGTGCTTTGATCTCTTGGTTTGTCTCCACGATATGTAGCGTAGTCAGAGAGGGAGCTGACCTTCCTCCTGAAAAAGTAAGAAAAGCCATGAGCACCGTACCCATACTGTAGCATTCTTCTGTACAGTATGCAGATAAGCTTTGTTTGCACATGGCTTAACTGTGTTTGCATACTACATATAATACGTGTGAAGAAAGTGGCGTGTCTGCACTGTGTTTGTGGGTTCACCCTTTGTGTGTAGGCTTCGTTGTCTGCGTGGCAGAGGCTGCTGACCCGGGGGCAGGCGGTTGGCCGTACCCGTCCCGCCCAGGTCTGTAGGGGCCGGCCTTTTGGACTTGGCAAAGTACAAAGGTGCTGAGGTGTGACTCAGGCGGTTTCTATTGCGGCCGTCCTTGTCCAATTGTCTGGATTTTGCCTTCTTAATGATGGTGCCTGGCGTGGAATCTAGGCTCCCTAATTCTAGAGAAGAAGGATAATTAACTTGCATCAAAGACAGATGTACACTACAAGAAAACATCTCAAATGTTACATTTTATTGCGCCTAACTCATGGAACAAAAAAAAATACTTCCTAAAACAAAATTCACCTATAACTTGAACTAGGTCTAAAATCTTTAAACTTCACATTTTTTTATGTTTACCATGTCTTATTTGACTTATTATATCTACCAAGTTTTCCATCCACATTGCAAGATTCTAAGGCTTTTCATATAATGGCTTTTAGTATTCTTATAATGGTATTTTCTCTTCTGTATATGTCCTTGTTGTTGTTTTGTTTTCATTTTTCATTGTAAATGACTAGCGCGCTTCAATAATCTCACATTTAAATGTGTTGAATATATATTACTTGCTTACTTACCTAGCATGGATTGGTTGTTACTCAACGTCGAAACTGCAGCTGATTGGTTGCCTATGGATGAAGTTTAACAACAAGCTTCAGTGAGAGGATGAGAGAATCAGATCTCAGTGGAATTTGCTTATATTTATTTACTATTCCCTGAAAGAGCTGGTTGATTGCTTTGCTTTTCAAACTACCAAACTCATTGTGGTGGTCAGTAACTTCACTCACCTGGTGCAGTGGTGGTTGACAATGGAGGACTCTTGCGTGAGGATCCCATTGCTACTCTGGACCTGGACCAATCAGATGGCAGTACAGGAGTTCAAGAGCCGGTTTAACATTGAAATACTTGAAACCAAATACATTTTTTTAATGTTTGAATACATGACTCATGATCTCCTTTCAGACAGGAAAAAAGAAACACCCAACTACGCAAGACTACAGGAGCAGATCAGAAAATGAAACAATGAAGGGACAAGAAAGGCAGGTGTTGAAAGCGTACCATGGGCAGACAGGCGGACAGAAAGTAACAGTGGCAGTGAAGAGAGGCATCCAAGAGATGTAGAGAACACAGGAAGGAACATAGCTACAGAAAGCAGGAAAACATTTGATAGAAAAGACATTAATGGAGAGGTAGAACATTTATCTATTTTTACTATAAAACACAAGTGTCTTTCTACTTCAAATGCACTTACTCGTCTTTCTCTGGGACGTCTCCTCTATGGTGAAGAGTCAACACATAAAGGACAGACATGGAAATGACACTGTTTGGGAACAAATAAAGGTAATGTCACTACAGCTTTATGTTAACCCACCAATCTCTCCTTAAGCACATGTTGCTCAGTCTAACCTGAAGGCCATGACGATGACCAGAGCCAGGATGGTTCCCTGCATGAACCTCTGGCTGATGCAGCCTTGATCCTGAGTCGGCGTCTGCAATAGAAATCCACAGATAACATGAAAGTTGTAAATCCTGCTGTTCACTAATAACACCATTTTACCTCACTATCACTATCACACACCTTGCTGCCAGGTTTGACTGTCTTCTTTCGGAGCGGGCCACTTCCTGTCCTACTGAAATAACTGCTTGATTGGCTACATGGACAAGAAAAAATGATCAATTCATTAGTTTTTCTATCATACAAGATTCTCTCTGTCAATGTGTGAAACTTAATTGGAAGGGATGTCTGCTCATTGCTCTCACCTGACAGTGCCTCCACTCACGGTGCTCTTCATGCTGTCCAGACGCCGCAGCTTGGCCAGTTTGCGGCTCCAGCGTTCAAGTTCGTCTATACGAGTCTCCAGGTTGTCTGTCAGCTTACACAGCTCCTTCACCGCTCCCACGTTCTCCATGAAGATACGATCCTTTGAAATAAGAGGCAGAGCTGTTAGTGAGTACGGAAGTGATGTCCGAGAGCCGTCAACTATATGCATGTTTTGTGTTTTCATTACCTTGTTGACCACTAACAGTTTGGGGATAGTTTCTCCATTTGTACACACCACATCACCGCCCTCCTTCACTGCTTCAGGCAAGATTTTCTGAACGTCTTGAGCGATCACTCCTGCAAGAGGAAATAATGAGAAATGCTTAAGTGAAAAAGAGCAGCAAAAAAAGGTGATGTCATTCACAGCACATGGAGAATAGGACATATCAAATATTAAAACATATTATCCTGCATGACGGACTCAGAAACCTAGCAGTTTTGCACTCTTTGTTCCCTCATCTCGACAGTAAGATATGTGGTTAACACAAGATTTAGAGATCTATATATTTTGCTTTACGACATAAAATATGGCAATACTACCCCACTGTTGAATTTGAAAGCTTTTGCCAGTCTAATAAGGCTGGCTATAAGAGACTTAAGAGGTTGTTTGGTACATTAAACATAATCAAACGGAACAAAGGGAAACCCATCTACTCAGTGGTTGTGTAGTTGAGGTCATACAACAATGGTGTAGTTTTCGTGTATAGCAGTTTAAAACGTTAGCTTTTACTTCTGGCAATTTCGTTTATCTTTACGTTATCTTTCTGAATGAAATGTGCAGGTGAGATAAACATTTGTTTTCTACCTATCTTTTTTTCTGCAATAAAAAAAAAAATTCAATGGAAAAATACCTTCGGCCATTTATAAAGGGAACCAATGCAATGCTAACTCCAGGGTGGCATGCAAAATGCCCTAGTGCTTTATTAAGATGATAACATGTGGAACAGTGTATAAAGAAATAAGGAGATGGAGACAAACATTTGAATCTGTTATTTATGAGGTTGTTACCAGTATCTGAAGTATTCTCTATGCCCACGGAGGCAGCAAACTCAGGCTTGAACTGATAATGGACGAGCCTCATCTGAGAAATCCGTTTCAAATTGTCTGTAGTGTTGACCTACACACAGACAGAATGACAAAGATGTCCATGCAGATGGTATGAAAAACAATGTTCATGTTGCAGATGAAAATGCTTGGATCAAGAACAATGACAAGACAAAAATAACTTAAACTGCACAGTCAGCGGTGCTGAGCAACGGGCACTTGGATGACATGATTCATGATGACAAGCACACGAGGCAAACAATGACACACTGAACATTTGGAAAATCCACGCACACACACACACATGCACAAACACACACCCATATACATACACACTGAGTTTCATCCTGACCTCCTGGACATTTTCTTTGGCCCTGATGTCAGACGGGTGCACCAGGGAGCCCATGACCTTCAGGTTGCCGTGGATAACGAGGGCCTCGTCTGGCCGGTCGGTGTTGATGCCAACTCTCCCGTGGTGGTAGACCGAGTCTGGCATCTGGCCGCGCTGCCACAGCACCTCGCTGTCACTCTCAAACTGACCAGGGTTGGATGCCTGTAGCAGAGACATAAAGGAGAAGGTGCACATTGACAGTAGGTTAGATGCTTCTAAAAATGATGCCAAACTAAAAATAATAAAGCCCCCCTGGGAGGCCTGACTTAAACCTCTGGTCTAACACATAACCCTCTGTAAAAACACCACAATTTGCTGTTTTTACAAATGTTCTTGTGAGCTTTAGAGTTGCTGGTAAGCAGATTTTGTTAAGGCTTGCTGTTTCCTGCTGTGCCAAGCTAAGCTAACAAGCTGGTAGTTCTATCCACATATTTAATGTAGCTAGATATGAGGCATGAAATCAAATAGGCATGTTACCAGAATTGTTTAACTATACCCATTAAACAAACCAAGATGTAAGGGGTTGACTTTACATTAGACCTGATGTAACCAATTGACACAAAGTGAATTATTGTTTCAAAAAGCTCTAATGCTTTTTTAACTCATGCACTATATTTCACTGTTTCACAATTCTGAAGTAAAAACAATGCCATTTGTTTTCCAGTGAAATTCATGTATCTCTGGCTTTATTTATTTCTAGGGTCAAATGTTCCTTTATGGGTTAAGACAAGATATCTTTTAAGCTCTTGATGGTTAATGTTTTAAGGATACATGGTTTTCACAGCATAGCGTACTGCATGTATTTGAGCGTATAATAAGTGTGCTGGGAATCACAGCCACGCAGATTAAAGATATGGAAAAACAGAAGAAGGAGATGGTGGAGTCATTTTGAAGTGCAGAAAGATATGTCAAGGAGACCAAAGCTGTCACATTCACAAGGGGTATGATTGTTTTATGAGGCAGACAGACATGGCCAGACGTTACCCTGACGATGATCCTCTCTGATGCTTGGGCAGCCACAGTGTAGCTCTGACTGTGGGACTGAGCATGCAGCGCCACAACCAGCATAAAATACCTGCAGGACAAAAACACCAGGAGTGTTACTACTGGAGATTCAATGTGAAAATAGGGAATCATATGTTTCCATGTGATGTAATGTCTTTCACCTCTGGTCAGGGTTTGGTTTGCCCTTCTTCCTCATGTTATTTGCCGTGGTCTCGCTGAAGTGAAGCCGCCCCACTGTGACCTTTGTGACCTGCTCTGACGGTAGGGTGACCCTGGGAAAAACAAGATTACTGACACATAGTAAAAACATTCATCTTATTCAATTGTTTACTAGTTTTTAAACACATCTTTTAAGGTGTTAACACTCACATCACTGGCTTAAAGGGTCTCTTGCTGCGGTCAGACTGGGACTGCTCCACACTGATGGATTGATTCACAGACTCCACCTGGCAACAAAGAGAAGAACATATATAAATAAAATACTTTATCATCTTTCATCTGGATGAAATGATCACTATTTTGCCTCTGTGCACCTTTACTCCGTTGAGTTTGAGATAGAAGCAGTCGATTGGCTGCAGGCCGTCACTTGTCTTGATGTACTTGGGATCTCCCAGCATGCCTACGTATACCGTGACCTGGAAATGATTCTTCTTCTGGCAAACAAAAGCATCATCAGCCAAGGAGAAGTTGAAGCCCTTATCAGCGTCAACGCGGTAGGTTGGCATCGGACTAAAGACAGAGGGAGAAATTATGACATATTAATAGTGTGATAAGGAAAACCACTTTTGTAGTTAGAACATTACTGTTAATGCAGAGTTAATATGTTTCACCAGGGGGAGACTCTCAAATCTACCACAGGGGGCTTTATATGTTTTAAGGTCGATGCTTCAGAGAGGTACACACATAGATGTTGAGGGTTCAGTTTTTTTAAGCTTTGCAAGCAGGATCACTAAAACAGCAGTGGCCCAATTCTGATTAAAATTGGTGGAAGGGTGTATCATGAGACACAAATAACCCATTAGATATAATATAACAGGAAGGATTGAAGCAAAGAATGTAGCAAAAACAACAATGAGCACTAAACTCTCAAGACTGATGAGTTCAAGGTGATGATAACATCTTTATAGAAATCCAAAGATGTTTTTTTTGGAAAATGTACATCAATGATAACATGTAAGAAGAAAAAAAGACCATGGTCTCAGATAGCAGAAGTGCCTGTCGTCAATTCATTAGCTGTGTAAAATAAATGAAAGTCAACTAACACTACCTGGTGGAAAAGTAAAAATAGGGACAGCTTAAAGGCGATTCTTAAGTGAGAAGAGATTTGATGATTGTGTAAAATACCTATTTTAAGTTAATATAGGCAATTGACTGAGAAAGTGCTTCTCTTTTTTCCTGGATCAGGTCCTAAACCTAATTACGATGGTTTCCTATTAACATTACATTTCATTTAGCTGACGCTTTTATCCAAAATGACTTACAATTACAGGGACATTCTCCCTGGAGTAACTAAGGGCTAATTGCTTTACTCAAGGGCACACTAGTGGTGGTGTTCCTGGCGGGATTTGAACTCACAACCTTCCGATCTTCAGCCCACCTCACTATCCATTACACCAGCACTATCCATATATCAAGGATCTGCAAGTTCACAAGTGTCAGTTTTACAGTTTTCCATTTGTTTTACCAGTACTGTGATCATCTGAAAGACTTAATAAATCAAATTTAAAACCAATGAACAACCTCTGTGCCTCTACGTATGTGGAGTGTACTAACAATTGTGAAGTGCAACCAGGTGGTTTTGATAACGCATCTGAAAGGTCTTGTGAGTTCATTTTAACCTTACTCCCCATCTATACTTTTTTTCTATTTTGGCATTCACAAGCACAAGAAGGTGTACACTAATTTCTCCCTTTACCCCCTCCTCACGTTGTCTTTCTAAGCCGAAACCCAGCACACGCTCACTCCCCCACACAGCTCACCTCTGAGGAATTTGTAGACCTCTGCAACCCAGCTATTCCTTTGCCACTCCCGCTTTATGCTTTGCTGAATTATTTATTTTACCAATTATAGCTTCTTTCATTTTTGGCTCTCTGAAGAGGGCTTTCAGCTCTTCCCCCCCCCGCAAAAAAGAAAGACGTCAAGATGTACAGATATGCCAAAGTCAATTCCACCCACAGCTCTTTGCAGTTTGCGTCATACAGCGGTGTCCACTTGCTCTGCTGGTGCGGCTGCCATTTAATGCACTGATAGTTTGGGTCAAGGTAGGAGTTGTCTGCATCTGACATTAAACCTGTGACAAACAGAACAGCAGTTAAAGAAAGATAGAAACAGCCAACAAATATCTGCAACTGTTCTAAAGTCTGTGCAAAAGTCAAAGGGTAGGTAAGAGCAGGGGACGTCAGGTAAAGAAGATGAAAGATACCTGGTTCTTGTTTGATGATACCTGTGAGGATTTGGGAATTGAGGGTGCTGTTGGGAGAGTCGGAGTGCTTCCTCTTCTTGGCCGAGTGAACAGGGATGCTTCTGTGGGACGAAAATGGAAACACTGTTAAAAAGCTGCACATTTTCTACTCTCTCCCATTATTTACCATACTGTACAAAACTGCACAACACAACGCTGTTTCTTCAGGACTCACTCCTGCCCCTGAGGATGCTGCAGCAGCTGATGGAGCATCTGAGTCTGCTGGATGTCTCCACTTCCACTTGTGGCTTGACCAATGGGATACTGTGATATCATGGTCTCAGGCTTCAGGTACATGTCCCGATGCATGCTGGGATAGTGCCCGTGCGGTGGGAGGGGTGGCGTTGGGGTCATTTGACACATGTTTTCTGGTGTCATGGTCCTGATCATGTGAGGATCTGAAGACACAATGGGGATATATACACTGACCAATTAAACACATACAGAATGCAGCCTTTTCCCTCCTATGATCTGTCCGTTCTGTTTTACAAACTGCAGTTTATTCTACTTCCCTCTAACCTTAGCTAAAGGTATTTTCCATTGTTTCAGACTGGAGGGATGCCCATCAGATAACACTATTCCACACCTTTTTACTAATGGGCAAGACCAACACAGGGGTGTTAACGGCAAGAGGCACATAATGACTTTGAGTATCGTCTTTGTTGGAACAGGGCGAACGAACATACATTTAAAATGAAAGCTTATAAAGTTGAGTCCAAGACATTTAAATTGGTAGATACAATTCTTTTTTTTACAGACAAATTATGTAAATTGCTGATGAATAAATGACAGACACGCTGCATTCAATAAATTGATTGGTTTGCACGTCCTTTTGTCTTCATGCTCTGCCTTAATACACCAAAGTGATGATAAGAAGCAGGTATTGATTTGACTGTGACCCACATACATCTTAAATACTCCTTTCTCCCCTCTGTGTCTGAATGCACTTTGCAGATCCTAGCACCATTTCTGTTTGTTATATTCTTATATTTGTGTGTGCCCCTTGTCACATCTTTTCCATGCGTTTTTACAGGGAGAGGACAAAGATGTGCTACTTACCATTCACCTGCTGAGGAGAGTAGGGCTCTGAGCTGGAGTCAGGGGGGGACTCAGGTAGTGTCCTAAAAAAACAGAAGGCAGTTGATGTTATGGTCATAAAAAAAACAATATTCAAACTTTCAAATCATAAAAATCCCCTACCATGCTTGAAATGTGGACTCCCTTCCTCATATATACTTCTTGTTTTCTAAAGTGCCATTACATTTAAGGGAGAAACCCTGTGTGTGTGTGTTCTTTACACAAGATTGTGTGCGTCAGGATTTCTTTTTTGTAATTCGACTCTCTCTCTGTCTGTTATCAGTCTCCCTCCCCCTCTTGACCAGCTAGTGGTTTATTTGTATAAAAAAACTTAATCAAGTATTGATTGCATAATGAACCTGTAGTAAGGTGTGTGTGTCTAGTTTCTAGTTGTATACTTTCAAATGATATACTGCGTCATCTACTGCCCTCGTGTTTACAAGTGAGTTTTGGGAACATCTAGAACATGTCTTGAGCATTCCTAAGTATTAGCTCATTCTATACTTTCTCCTCATTGTACCTCTAGCTATCTAACTCTGTGGTATTTTGCTCACCCTGGAGCGTAGTGGCCCCTGTGCTCAGGTTTGACGTGAGCCTGCTGCTGTTGCTGCTGCTGCTGCTGGTGGTGGTGCTGCTGCTGCCCCTGCTGCTGTCCCAGGCAGTGGTAGTTGTGTCGGAGGCCCAGAGATGGACCTGGTGGATAGGCGTTCTGACAGTTAGGAGGCCCGGGCGGAGGGGCTCCTTGGCGCAGAGGAATAGGGGGGCTCACACCACACACCAATCCCCCAGAGGAGGACACTCCTGCCTGGGGAGATGAGTAATTCGGTCCTGGGGCGCTGTGGACCTCTGAGAAACAGCTGGGGAGAAAGAGGGGGGGAAAAATAGAGATTAGCCTTCACAGAAAAAACAAATTCCTCTGTAACGACATGATCTGATTCGGTTGGTGCATGTTGTTTTGACGTTGCTGGGCAGGTTTGGAGTCCCTACTGACATGTCAGTGCTATCGTCCTCCTTGCTGATGTACTCTTCCAGGATACTGGTGTCGATGTTGGCTGGCTCCAGAGAGCTGATAATATCATGACCTGTGGTGAAGGGAGGGTTGGGAACACAGAGGGGAGACAGAGAGCATCTGGGAATTAGCAATGGGAATCTTTCAGCAACTCAACACACCGCCACAAATCCTCCAGTTTCAACACAATAACTAATCACATTTTGCTCACTCAGTTTGTGTATCATTTTCTAGCTTTTCCTGCATACTCCTGATTACTTTCTATGAATGCATTTATATCAGAAATAACACAATTATCACAATCATGTGAAAAAGAAGAGCTGATTTGCTTTCTGAGAATTTAAAGATTAAGGTTACAAGAGTGACCAACAGTTTAGATATGTGTTAGTAGTCAACATTACAGATCACATACTGATGGTTCATTGCCATAACTGCTTACACATATAGACTGGAATTTTGTACCTCAGCTTTTTAATCCAAATAAATAATGACATATATCATTGATAATAATAATTTTAACATTTCTATCCAAGTAACTTCACTGGATTGTGAACTTTCTTTGTTCACGAAAATAATCTTCTCGTAAAGATAAACTAAATCTAGAATGTAGCTTCTTCCCGTCGAGTGTTGCGTGATTTGTAATACTTTTTATATAATGACATAGCATATATATTTGTAATTTCATAATTCCCTAATTATCCCCTCACCTCAGGGTCATTTTCACCCTTTGATAGCCAAATCCTCACCAATCCCAAACACATGACCCCACTTAAGCTCTAAAACAGCAACATGCAGAACAAGCACTCGCTGTGCATATATTAAGAAAAGAATAAATCACTATATAAAGTGCCCTTCCTAAGAGCGTTCAACTCAAATGTTACAAGAGAATAAAGATCTTTTAAAAGCAGGCACTCGTCAGAGACTGCAGATTTGTGGAAACACAGCGAGTGTGAGAGAGGGGGGGGGGGGTGAATCAGAGGGTAAGGACCTGGTATATAGTGGGTGGGCAGGCAACCCCAGTCTCTCTCTCTTTCTACCTCTCCCTTGCTAACACACACAAGAGACACACACACACACACACACACACACACACACACACACACACACACACACACACACACACACACACACACACACACACACTGGTAGATTAAGCAGCTACTCAGTTGGGAATGCAAGGAATTCTTTGTTAGCATTTGAAAAAAAGTCTCCTTTCCCCCTTTTTTGTGTCTTTCTTAACGCTTCATTTTTAATCAGAAATGCAACTGAAATTAAAATATTATTTTCATAGTGCCTTTCCTAACTTCCTCCACACATTGCTACTGTTCACCACAAATTATAAAATGGACCATTTTATCTATGTGCCGTGTCACATCCAACAGAGAGTTGACAGCATAAACATCAACATCTTACAATCTCATATCAATAAAACCCACAAACCAGATCATTTCGTCTCCATCGCGATGAAACCAATTCAACAACCTAAATGATGTTCTTTAACATTATAAATCGTCACGTTACGATGTTTGTGGAGACTGCTAACAAGTTTACACTGAGTAACAGATGGTTAATGTCTCCTAATACGTGCCAGTACAAGGGTAGGAAAGCAGGATGGTTCCCGTTAAATAAGATCCAGATGTGCACCCCACCCAAATAGGCAGTAAATTTACACTGGCAGGCCTGATAACGAAAAATAGAGAGATGGACAGAGAGGGCAGGGTAGATAGATGGAGGTTGAGGAGAGTGGGGGCAAGAACGACAGTATACAAGTTTGAGGTCCAAGGATGGGGTGATAGAGGGAAAAACCTACAATATTGACTGTAGAGAGAATATGAAACAGAGATGTAGAGAAAAGTCCAAGAGAAGTCCAGGACCAAGAGTTCAAGAGTAGAAGAAGACCTTGATTGAAATTGAAATACGCTTTGACTTTTACATCAACTGCTTTATGCCCTTTTCACAAAGATGAAGACATAATCATTTGAAAATACATTAAGCAGCTGCAAATAGAGATGGACTATCATGCTAAGTAAGTACTACGTTGTTTTTTTCACAAATTGAAAGATACATTAATTATATTTTAGCTTTTTGTCTCTATCAACTCCTGGTTGGAATATCTAGCTCTTTAGCGGCTCCTTGCATTCATAACTAATAAACAATACAATCACAGGTCTGCTGGAAAGAGGTGTTCATCAAACATCTAAGACCTAACAAACTCACAAAGCCAAAGCATCCAAATATCATTTTTTGCAAGTCTTTCACAACTTTCTATCTGTACATGTCTTTCGAAGCCAATGAACATGACCCCACAGATACAGTGTGTTTGTCTTTCCAAGACAGTTTCCAAACCTTTTTCTACAAAAAAGGTTTTGTCTTTACAGTGTGACATGTCATATACATGAAGATTAAAGAAAAGTTATTTATAATGCTTTCATTTAATGCTATTCTTGTGCATGTAACGAATAAAACATAAATCAAGTTACTGTAACCTCCATATCAGTGAATCAGTTTAGTTAAAATAGTTGTGAACTGGATGTGTAAATCCCCCCCGCCCTCTATATTTGTCTCTGTCCAGCTGTGTTCAACAACGAACAGTGAAATGATTGTCAGTCCAACCTCGATACAGACTGGCCTTTTAAAAGATTAGGGGCTGAGAGGGGAGTGTGTGAGTGCGTGTTTATATGTGTGTATGTAAGTGTACGCGTGCATGTTTGTGTTTGTTTGTTTGTGTGTGTGTGTGTGTGTGTTATGCCACCATTTCAATGCCTTGGTTGTCAGCAGTTATAATCTAAAATGAACACAAACAAAGGACCAAGTGTGCTAGTGCCCATCAAACATGATGACTTAAATCAGTCAATGAAATGCACATATCTACCTTTTTAAGTAAAAAATTACTTTAACAACTAAATTATCTTTCTGTAAAGTTTGGTAAACTACACTCAAGGCCGCAGACAGGCTTGAAAACAAATTTGAAGGAGCATTAAAAAAAGAAAACCTAAACCAACTTCAACTTAGTTTTATATGCACTCACATGTGTGTGTTAATAATTAAACACTTTCGAAGGAGGACAAAGTCCATCTGATAATCTTTGCTAAACACCCACAACACATATACACGCATATTGTACAGAGTGAATAAGCTTATACAGATAAAGCATCAAATTACATCCTGAACCAATAAATAAAGCTTTGCAGTAAAAATGTAAATCCAAATGTGTAAAATAATTCAAGGTAACAGGCAAATCTAAGTATATTAACATGTGCCATTATTTTATGAAATATATTTGAATTGACCTTTGGAGATCATTTCCACAAAAATCAACAAAATATAATCTGATGGATTTTAGTAATGTCAAATTAATCAATGTACAGAAACGAACAATCTTTCAGTTGTACAATTTGCATTGTTCAGAAATGAATGTGCCTACAATTCACGTTTACCACACACAAACAAATAGAAAGTGATACAAAATGTTTCAAATCTACGTGTTAGACAGCTTTGAGATACAACCTGAGAGATTTAGACCTTTTCAATTTGTTTAAAAGACAAGGTTACTGTTAAAGGAGTGAAGAGCATCACTATGACACAAATATTAATTAGGAAGAGACTACAAACAGAAAGCCCCTCACTAGGTAGGGACTGATAAATCACATTTAAAGAGAAGCAGAGCGGACAGAGCGGCAGAGTACCTGCGCGTAGCCAAAGCATGTTGATGTCCTTGAGATGAAAGCACCTGAAAGAGAAGATGAGAAGAACAATTCCTCTCTAATTTTTCACATGTTTCCCCACTCGGGCTGTGAGACTTTCTTCTGTAGACCTGAGAGTCGCAGATCAGGGTACAAATGTGTGTGTGTGTGTGTCTGCGCGTGCATGCCTATGCGTAAAAGCATATGTGCGTGTGTGAGAAAGGCTAGGAGAGTGTTATAATAAGGATTATTCCCCAGTCATGAGAAAGGGCTGTACCAGGCTACCACACACAGCCCTTGTCGCACACAAGCACTGGTCGCACCGGTGGACCTGGCTCAGGAGATTACAGCAGTGACAAGGCTGGGACTGAGACACAGAGCAAGGCTGGAAAAAACCCTGCGAATGTAAGGTTGAGTTTGAGGGCCAGCACAAGAAGATGAAGAAGAAATGGAGAAGGAAAATTAAGATGAGGGTATAAAGAAGGAAGTGGCCAGAAGAAAGAAGTAGCATAAAGATGTAGTAACATGAAGAAGAGGTGGAAAAGTTGGCTTACTGTGATAACACAGAATTCAGAATGGAGACTGTCTAAAGAATATATAGGCTCATGTAGATGAATACAAACTGTGTGATTTTGTTTTTAACTATTGAATTTTAGGCAGAGCAAATCTGATAAAGACCCGGTCACCATGTCCGATCCTGAGTTAGACAATAACTAACAGAATATTGGATGCAGACATCTCTTTAGAGGTTTTTTTCTATGACAACCTCTCTTAAGTTATAAAAGCGCACACACACCCAAACAAATGCAGAAAAAGTGAATTAAGTTTCACTGCAAACAATACGCAGCGGTTGAAGATTACTGAGTTGGTAGTCCGCACCGGGTGAGGCACAACAGTAAAACATCTACAAACCTACTCGTAAGCACCGTAAGCCTGGCTGCTCAAAAACAATACATTCCTCAGACTGCAATTCACTGCTAAACCTATAAATCAGAAGAGAAGTCCAAACTTCACCTCACAGGTTTTCCAAGATGGACGACGGCCTCCCCATCCATGATTCACAACTACTGTGGGAGTACAGAGGGACTTAATTGGAATTTTGATATAGTATCGTGTGTGATGATGAGTTGTTTATCTTTGAGGGCAATATGGAGTAAGAACCACATTAAGTCCCTTTTGACTCAGAGGGTTATGACTATGCTCAACGGTTAACTTTTTGCAGATAAGGGTTTAAAAATAAACTCTCCCATATTAAACAGGTTTATGTTTTAATTGAAGGGTTTTCAGCCACATTAGCAGTGCGGTTCTGTGGATGGCATTTTTCCCCATCGGTCCAGAATGAGATGTCTTAATACCTAGTTGAAAAACGCTTCTCCGACCCATATGCCCATAAGGTTAAGATCCAATTATCCAATGACATTTGACCTCCTAGGTTGAACTCGTATGCGTTTGTCTATGTCCATGTTAACTCTGATGAAGTATCTAGTCTCTTTGCATTATTACCATTGGATGGATGGTTATGACATTTAGTACAAACGTTCATGATTGGCTGTACATGAATCCTGCTTCATGTTCCCATCTAGCACCAACATGAGGTAAAATGATTTGGAGGTTACTAAATGGATTGTGATAAAATATGTTACATTCATATCCACCTCAGGACAGACTTTAATGATCCTATGACATCTAGAGCTACTATCAGGTCAGCCTGATACTTAGTTTATGACAAAATGGCGTTAGTTAATGACATCAATGACATTTTCTCAGCCTCAGTTGTACTTTCTTGAATGCTTGATTAGCAAATGTTTGTATAGTGAACTAAGAAGTGAATAAGGGAAACATTGTAGTATTGTTCTTGTGAGTGTGTTGGCATTCTTACTATGGCTAAAACAATTAATTGATCAATCGATTGTACTTTACAACTATTTTTTGTAGGACATTTTAGAAACATTTATTTGAGTGACTCAATCAATGGTATCTTTGTCATATTTGGTTGTAAACTGGAAATCTTTGTATTGTTGGTTGAACATTTGAGGGGTGTAACTGCCATTTTTGGGTCTTTTATAATATTTTAAAGACCCAACAAGTCACAGCCCTTTTTCTGATGCCAGCATTGAACTAAAAGCACAGACTTGCAGAGCAGTGGTTGTAAACGCTCATAAGAAATGTTTTATTTATATACAGTCTGATGGATCCACATTTATTTCAGTGGCACAAACAATTTGTTTCCATCCGTAAGATCCCAAACATGTAAATGAATGTTTTCAAACCAACGTGTTTTGACTTAAGGACAAGCTGAAAATGTAGCGCAGGCGTGGGTCACGGTTTAATCAAGTGTTTGGTTGACTTAAGATGGGGCATTACTTGGAGTAACACAACAGCAATACATGTCATGATCCTTTAATGTGCAAATACGGCGCTGAGAGTGTGTGAGCGACTGTTTGCTGTCTGAGTGAGTCAGAGAGGAGAAGGTCAAGTTTTGGGGGAGGATGGTGTTTTAACTGGGTTTCTCTCAACAGGCCATTCCCTCTCCACCCTGAGTCTGTACTATCTCACCTCCTCACCCTGTCTGCTCACTGTCACTCTAATGGAGTCAGAGAGAGCAAGCGCCAAATACCCGAGGAGAATCACCAGTCTCACCTCATTGTGTTTTAACAGCCACCAGGGCTATGCCAGGAATGTACCCCGTGCATTAGTGTGAATGTATACATATTTCTCTAATCCTATTAAAACAGTTTACCAGTGCCGAAATCCATTATAGTGCTGTGTGTGTGCTTCTGTATGAGCGTGTGTCTCCTACAGATAAAAGGCAAGATGAACATTGATACATGATAACATTAGTTATCCAATACATCAAATTGATGGATCTCTGGTGTTACTTTTTGGAACCAATTTCAATAAAAAGTTAAAAGCCCTGAATCCACTCCGGAACAATTTCACTATAGTTAGTGAAGGAACAAGGTAAATAGAAAAACAAGCAAGGCGGCACCTTCTGTATACTTCTCATGGACAAGTTGACATTTTAGTCCAAGCAAAAGTGGCTGAAATAAAGCCAAAGTAAGAACATCTCTCTTACTCCCAAAGCAAGAATGTAAACACACTAAATTCCTGTCAGAGTGGCAAGGAACCTCTGACAGTCATGAATGGCTGTGTATATTTAAGTCAACACTTTGTGTATACTATAATCAAGTGTTAAGTCTCTCAACAGATAACTTATTATACATAAAGCACGCTATGTGTTTTATGTGCACTTGACTTCTGGAACATTTGACTTTAAGTGTCTTTAAAAAAAACAAATTAATAAAATGGGATTTCTGTGGCAAGCTGTAAATCAGAGCAGAAAGAAAAACGATCTAAAGTAATGAGACACAATCGAATTGTCTTTTCTGTGATGTCTGAAATACTGAACAATGAACAGTATACAATGTTATTTATTAAACACAACTCAGTCAATATGTTTAAGTCTGCAGGTTTACACACACAACTAAAACGTAAAAAAGAGGGTTGGTAAGAGTGTTGCACTTGTTGAAAAGGATTTCTAACTAAACTCTCTATGATTTTAAAGTTATAGTCAATATTATATATTTATAAAGATTTTGATTGTGGCGATAAACATAAAGAGGCTTTTCTTCACTGCTTTTGTTTCTTTTTATGGGTGTTTTCCTTATGATGAGCAACACTACATCACTGGTTAAACTCCCATTGCTCATGTCTCTAACACACACATTGTGCCACAGCACCCCTTGGAAAACACACCATTTATCATGACTTGAATTCCTCCACCCTTCACCCTCCTCCACCTCGTTTTTTTTTTAGGATTCCCCGTTTAACTTGATCTGTTACCCATCACCAGCACTTTTGCTCCCTGCACCAGTTAAACCTCCTGCATTCTTGCATTTCTGTTTTTAAGATGAAGAGCCAAGAAGGAAGGTTTAAGTGAAAAACAGAGCACTGTAAATGATGCATTGGAAAGCCAAAAGTCCTATAAGATCACTTGCAAATATTATAGCTATTTCTATTATGATGTTTACCACCTGCCATGTGATCTGTGAATCAGAATAGTATAAACCAGGCTTTTTGACTGTGTAGTTAAAGTACGTACAACACACCAGCTAAAACTGGATTTGACAAGGTGTGATACATTTAGTTTTTTAGCTCCCAAAAACAAATAATGGTAACACAAATCACACATTTTATGCTCAACTAGGCCTATCACTTTTTCTGTTCATTACGTATTAATGCTGAACTGTAGGCTATTATAAACACAAATGCCTATAATAAATCAGACATTCTTACCTTCAAAAAATCTCTGTAACGCTTCTGTTTCATCTACCACGTCCATCCTAGCGGGTCCCGCATAAAAAATCCATCCATTAAAGTATCCCCTTTTCCGAACGAAATCAATTCGGATGGGGGAAACTTTCACAGACACATCACGGAATCCAGATTATACTCTTATCGTCTTCGTCTTGTATACATTCACATAAATCCAGCGGTTCATGCGGAGAACTTTTCCTGTTCAGCAACTTGGCTCTGGATTGACGTCCCTTGGTCAAACGCCTCCAGTGACGCTGCGCAACAGGCTATAACTTAAAACTAAAGTCTTAGGTGTTTCTTTTATAATTAAGGTGCCGACAAAAAACTATATAAGAAGAACGTTAGAAAAATTGCCTTCAGGCGCACCTTGACTTCAGCTCCTACAAGCTTCATAATAAAGTTGGGAAATAATTATCATAAGTCCTGGGAGAAATTGAGAAATCGTCAGGAAATAATTCGTTCAAAAAAAAGTAAGCGTAAAAGTTGGCTAACTTGAGTCAGATTTTCCTGTGTTGCTTCTCTTCGTCCTTCGCCTCTCCCTCTCTGATGGGATGTGTGCAGCAGGAGGAGAGGAGGCAGGTGAGGGATGTGCGCCAGGCTGCTGAAAACATCCCCGGACACAAAAAAGTATGTTAGGAGCGTGTGTCCATGACCCTTAACCGTATAAAGAACTGCGTCAATTAATCGATTGACTGGTCATGAAAAGAAAATGAATCAGCTATTTACTATTTTGATGATCAAACCAGCATACACGTTTGACGTTTCTGGTTCCAGTTGAAGTAAAATGGATTTTGCAGTCTTTTGCATTATTTTCCTTATCATTATATTTTAGAAAAATCGAATTTGAAAACATCACTTGGGTTCTGCATTTTTAAAAGGCAATCCATAATCTGGAATTAAATTATCTTTGAATAGTTGTTTTGATTAGATGTAAACATAAACATTTAGTGTAAATATTTAATATAATATTTGAATATTTATTTTGAGGGAAAATGTTCTTAAACAAAGATGTCTTTTTTTTTTAAATAGACTTTTCGGGCCACAACATCTAACACTATTGCCTTTTGTAATTTGATGAATTAGTTATATTCTATGTGACACATAATGATGTTTTTCCTATACCTGGAGAGGTATCCCTCCTGTTTTTTCTTCATGTATTTGTTTGTATTCTGGTAGAGGCTATATAGATAGGTTTAAACACATTGTACACCCTTCGAAAAACATTTAGGGCTTAAAATTAAAATGTATCCAACTTTCCTTCAAACGTTCTAAAACACTTAAACGTAATTGAATCAGCATGCAGTCAGGTCAGATGTGAGGATGCCTTGAGAAAATGCTTCCAACACACTTCATGTGATTAGCTGTCAATTACAGAATTAACACTTCCTGATTCATGTTGCTAAAAATACATATTTTCACTCTTCCTAAACTAGTAGTGTAAAAACATTTGATATTTGTATGTGTTCTTAAGAACGCAGCCTTTTAAATTCCTCCAGCTTAAACATCCATACAGTAACAGGCGTGTTTTGTGTCAAGGCTTCCCAAGGGTCGGATTTAAGGGAATGATCCATTTCTCTCAACCTTATCAGCTGCATCCCACCCCCCTTATAACAATGCCACTGTGTGCAGCCCCCACGGCCTTGACGCCCACCCCCCCCTTCACCCACATGTGAGATGCTGTTGTGTTGTCTTGTTCCCCCACAGCTGGAGCATCTCCCTCTACACCCCCCCACCCCTCTGCTTTTCCTCCATTCAACCCAAACAACGCCTCCGTTCTTTCAGCCACACTATGCAGATTGTTTTCAGAGGACAAGCAAGAAAGAGAAACAGAGAGAGGCTGCAGGGGACAATGAAACAGCTGGCTATGCTAAAGCAGTTCATTTCGGTATTCTATATTTCTTATCTCATACATGTAGCTCTCTCACTGCATGTGTTGGTGTGCGGGTGTAGCACACTTCTACCAATCTTGCCTGTTGTGTCAATATAACCCTTTTTTTCACAAAGTCACATTAAGGGTCTCACCTGCTGCTTGTGACAAAAGCTACAATTATATTTTAGGATCAAGGTTAGGGTTAGATTTAGTTTAAAGTTTGGTATGTAAAGGTAGAGAGTCTCAGGGGAATGTTGCCAAGTCAAGCAAGGTGCACATAAATGGCAAACACAAGTTGTGTCCCGATTTGAAAATGATGAACTCTGTGGAGGGTTACTAGCCTTCACTTCACTATTTTCTTGTACAGTGTAGCTTCCATTCTTTATCTATATGTGGACAATGATTTATTGATTTTCGGTTACTTGGCGGTAGCAGAACAAGCTGAAAAGAAAAACACTTTCACATTTTCAACAAGTTTTTATACGCCGAACATATATCTTAGCAACATTTTTCAAATTCAGAAGACATGATGCAGCAGCAAAAGCAATACTTTAAATTGATCTGTCCAAATAAATAAATAAAGTTTTTTGTTTTGGGCTAAAACTTCTGAAAACATGTTGTTTCTTTAGCTGCAAGGTGGGATCTATGTTCCCCAGCTCATTATCATTTTCAAATGTTTTATTTTCTCAGCAAAGTTTCTCCCCTGAATATCTAATGTTAAGCTTTGTTCCCTGTTTTGTTTGTCTACCTTGGTCAATATGTTGAGCACTTACAGAGTAACCTCTCCCATTATTTGACCAACTCTCAGGTTGTAGTTCTTCTTTCAGCCAATAGGTGGAGATGTTCATCTTTTTGGATGGAAACGGAAAATCTAAGGAAAGAACTCAAAATGAGGGTGAATGAACCAGGTAAGTAGGATGTATTGGTTGCTATAGACATGCTTTAACCATAGACTGTATAAAGGCTTTAACGGAAACATTACATAGTCAGTCGTACTGTTGACAGCAACTTTGAATAGAATGGGTTACAATACTCCTGTTTTACGGTGCTGAATAAATGAAAGAAAGTGAGCCTACTTTGTTAACTGTGTTTCTGCCCAGCTCTCTCCCTCAGCCAGTGGAAGATCAGCCAGTATCCTTTTCATTTCAATAAACTAAGCAGCTCTGAAGGACAGGCGCCTCTCTGTCACTGCCTGACTGATCATTAATGATAACACACCTATCTCTGTAACCAGCTGTCATATTTTACTTTTTCCAGGGATGGCTGAAGCAAATATATTTTATTTCCTGTTCACTTACAGATTTATGATTAGAACGAGTGAGTATGGTACATAGCCTATCACACGTTGCCTTTTTTCTAAGTGTTTTTGATGTACTTGTAGAGTACAGTGAATGTGTCTTCTGTGGTCAGGCTCGGATCAGTGTTGTCCTGTTGATGCCATGGTTCATTGTCTGTCTGCTGATCTCAATTTCAATCCATAACATGGGATTTAACATCGGAAACTCCACACACATTGGATCTGTTTATACATTTACCATGACACAACTAATGGCATTAATATACTTTAACCATCTCTGTCTAGTAAATGCCCATGTCTATCAAATACTTGACCCAGACCTTATGTTATAATATTTTAGTTTTTTTCTTTTGCAACACAACAGTCTATGGTCCTAACTGAGAGAAGGGACTTTGTTTTGGTTAACCTCAAAGTGACGGTGTTGCACGTTACTGTAACGGAAGTGAGTCTCCACTACTTTTGTGCAGAGCTACATTATTGACAAAGCATTTTTGCTGTATATCAGGTTGTGCAAAGTTAGTCATTGTGACGTTTTACACAGGAACACAAGGGCTAATCACTAAAGTAATGACACAAGCAAGTATTAAAGCCTTTATTGAATGCCGTTATGCACGTTGTTTAGATGCCTGGTAATGCTTGGTAAAACATAGGCCTAATTACAGTGTGTGATTAGCAGAGCGATCTTCGCGTGGCTCAATCAATCAACCGTGGCTGTAATGCAATTGTGTTAACTTTGTTAAAATGGTAGCCAATATTAAACAGCTATCATGTACTAAACCCTTACCTGTGCTGTCCTGTCCCTAATCTCAGAGTGCGCCATTAAAACATTCCCGGGGGATTCAACACCTGTTTATGGTTCCGGGAGGGCTACACCAAGTAGGAGTGAGTAGGGGTGGTGGTAAATACATGTCACATTTATGTTTGGTAGCTTTGTTTTGTTTTGCATGTATTAATTTGTAGGTTAATACATTTATGTTAAGTGTTTTTTCTTTATGTTGAATTATCTTTGAAATGTGTTTCAGTATTTTATCTAAAACAGGTCTGACTATATCACCCCTGTTTTTGGTAGCACCTAAGGGTGGGGAATATAAAATACTGCTCCTTTTGCTTTTGTAATAGTACCTGTGTGTAGTAGTGCGGGCTTGGGAACAGGCCATGCCGCCGAGTGTGTTCTGCCACCAAAATGTAAATCATATAAAATTGATGCCCACATTGTGGGACTACATCTGCGTCTTTACTTTGGGTCTTGACGCCTTCCAAGGTCAGTCTAACAATGACACAGTTAGGCATAATCACAAGCATTGTTTTACTCGTAGTCTTTGTCTTAAATGTAGTCTTAGCTTTTATAATTTTAGCCCGCCTGGCCAGGTTAGTTCCACTATCTTTAGTTTCCATCAGACATTTTATATTAAACTTCAACAGCCATGGTCAATGGCTTTCTTAGATCATGTGGCATCTGAGATTACAAACCGCCTTTCTTCGACAGTTGAATGTCAACATAAATGATAGACAGGTCGGTAAATTACAATATCTGGTGTCATACACAGATAACATCACATGGAGAGACTGGCCTACATTTAAGTCTCCATTTATTTTTGATTGAAAACATATGCCTTCGTAATTAGCATCTCATACGTACGTTTTGAAACACCCGACTGCACTAAGCTTTCCTTTTGTTCACGCTTTTGTCCCTGAATGAAATAAGCCCTGGTTCTCTTTAGGATTTGTTTGAATTATTGATATGGGTGGCATTCATTCAACTGAAACTGTATACTTTGTAATATTGCCTCATCATTAAAATGTTCCTCCAAAGTTAATTTCACAGAAAATAATGGCTTGTTTAGAAAAGATGGATATTGTCTATTAAGGTGGCTGGTTGTCGGAATACATTCATAAATCAATGCGGATGAATACCCGTGAAAAACGTTATTTACAAGATTGATTTTGGACGTATTTAAATTGTTAGACATAATTGTTATTTTCAAATAATTGTTCTGTTCAAATGTACAGTAATAACAGATTGGTAAAGTTGCTTTTCTTGGTGTCTTTAAGTGTCTTCGAATGAAATCACCTTCCTTTCATATGAGTGTAATATTGAATTTAGGCCTAATATCTGAGATGACAGCCTTCTGCACAACAACAAATAGGTTTTAGCCTGCTGTGTAAATGTGTGTTACTACTGATTACTTTTATTGAACATACAGCATTTGACATACAAGTCTCATATTTGTTCATCTATTCTCCAGTAGAGGGCAGAATCGTTTTGATTAACACTTGAGGAGGGACTACACTGATTTAAGTACAAAATAAGTAACATTTTCTTATGTCTTTCAACTTTAGGAGTACAGTATATTTAGTACATACACATACAAATAAATAACCCTCAAGTGTTCTTATGATCTATAAATTGCTTTTAGTTGTTCACAAATCTCTTAGAATACCTGAAATGTACACAAGTAAGAAATACTCTAGGTTGAAAAAGTATTTTTCTATTTGTATTAATTATTTTAATTAGCTTAATTGCATGTGATGTTACCACCACTGATCTTCTGCTCTTTCCGGTGAACCTCTCCGATTTGTATTGTTTTAGTTATCGGCCATTTCCTAACCCACATTCTTTCCAGGTGATTTCTCAGCACGGACAGCCAAAGTTAATATTCAAACCTAATGGCAAGGTCTCCAAAGTAACGAGTTTCAAAACAATTCCCATTTCTGAGGGCCTGCGCTTGAGTGAAGGCCGAGCACACGGAAAAACACTTGTGCATATCACTGATTGTAGGTAAGGCCAGTGTGTGTGCAATTTGCAAGCATTTATATATTTTCATTTTCATCGTATCTCAATGCTTTGTTCTAACATTATCACTCAGGGGATGGTCACATACTGTAAATTAATAAGAGGACAAATGCATTATCTTAATGGTTTTCTGTGCAGGGTCAGCTCGCTACAACTGGACAAAGCGTGGTCATTCTTACCAGTCAGTGACATTGAAACCTGGGCAGTGTTCCACTCTGTTGCTCCTCTTTCATTCACTCTGTTGAGTCCAACTAGTTTAGACCAGCCACTGCTTTCAGCACAAAGTAAAAACCTGTTTAAATCAAACTATCCCACAACTTAAAAGATTCAAATATACCGTCTGTAGGCCTTTTTATTGCATATTTAAAGCATTTTTGAAAGATTTGCATTACTATATAAATGTTGTTAGTCACAGGGCACCTCATGCACAGGTCTTCTTGGGTCAAGCTTTACAGCAGGGGTCTCAAACTCAAGGCCCGGGGGCCAAATCCGGCCTGCGACTTCATTTTATGTGGCCCACAAGAGCTTGCAAAGAATATAATACGTTTATTATACGGTTACATGCCACTTTACAGAAGCAGGTTGCCCATAAACTACATGTCCCACAATGCATCTCGTTTTGTGACATGCGCACTGAAGAGACTTGCAATTATTTGCCCTGGACTTCTGCTTTCAGACGTAGTTAATTACTAAGTTATTATCCTATCTGATAATAATCCAATTCAGAGGCAATAATGTAATATAATACATTATTTTATATATATATTTATATAGTTACAACCGTATATTTATATAGTTACAACCGGCCCTTTGAGTGCAACCTTTATGCGAATGTGGCCCGCGATGAAATTTAGTTTGACACCCCTGCTTTACAGCAAACGGCCCCAAGATAAATCAGACATTCACAAATGAATTAAAAAAAAGAAGTAATTTCTGTTTCTTGGAATTATGTAGTGTTTTCCTATTATTTTTCTTGTAAAATACAAAACGAAATTAGTGGGGGCAATCTTTGGGTGAAGTTGCTTGACAACCTACCCCCCCCCAGTGAAGTGTCTGTGGAGCTCCGCCCCCTCAGGGTAGAGTTACCTGCAGAGTCACCTGTCACTCCTCAGCAACTGTGTCAATGCAAACCGGCAACAAACACCTGCGCTGTCACTCTGACTCACAAACACAGGACGACTACTTTACAGTCCAGGAATTCATCGGTTTTACTTCAAAACAAGCGGCTGCAAATATCTACAGTTTCCTGCGGAGTTTCCTGTCCTGTCGGCATGTGATGGCAGGCTGAAGCTTCCGGCGCTGTCTCAACCACTGCTGTCATTCTGAGCATCCCGTCCCGAAAACACCACTGTGAGTTCATACGAGGGGTAAAATGTATACTGTCGCTTTCTTTTTGTCTGTTTACCTTCGTTGTTTTCTTTATTGTTATGCGCATACATTTGATTCCCACTTGACAAATCTGAACACAAGTTCCACTCACTGACAGAAGTTTCATCATCCAGGAGCTGGAGTTGCCTAATCGATGTTAACGTTTTAAAATTATGTTTTTGAGAGATTTAATGACTTCATTGTGGTTCAAAATAGGTTGCATTGTTTTTTTATATAGATTATCTTTTATGAAATATATTTTGTGTTATGAAATCTCTCTTAATAGATATTAAATATCAGCACTAAAACGATATGTTTTGTGATCAAGGCTGCAGTTTTCAAGCTACTTGGAAATTGTAACTTCGTAACACTTGGTTCTGCTTGTTGCAGGAGAGCAGAAAACAACATGATGCTGTACCATACATTTAATTCTGATGTCACCCTCAGCCTTAATGACATAATTTTAACCTGTAATGAGAGGACTGGGCTTTCATTTGGGTTCTCTAAGTTTAGGAATAACCTCAAGACTACACAATTACCACTAACATTAGAAACAGTCATCAATGTGATTATTTCACAGTCTTGTCAGTAGTGTTTTGTCCTGACACTGATTGTTGTTCTCGAAGTGTTGAGAGATTTATATGGATGTTATGTGAAGTAAAGGGATCTGATGCATGTGACCTGATTTCAAACTGTGCTGGTTCTCTGTGCCCAGATAAGGAAAACTTTATACCCGGAATGTATCTGTAAAATCATCAACAGATCTCGAAACAGTGTAGGCCTACTTTGATTCAGCCAGATGACTGCATGGCGCATGAAATAAAATACAAGCCGATAACCATTTTTATCTTACAAAATGCTTACTCAAGAACATAAAGCAAAGTTCTGATTATTCATATCAGAGCGATATCATGTTATTGAGACACATTAAATAAGCTATCAGAGTCAGTATTTTTTTTGTAGTATAACAATGCCAGAAATGTGTGTGAGCCTCATGTGACCTCATATTCTCCTGACCCAATAGTCTGTGTTTTGTGCAATGTCATTGTGAAGTGAACATTTGGATAACATTTAATGGACACTTGCCTGACTTCATGTCAGCAGTGATTCTTGTTAGTCTTTATTACTGTTCTCTAAAGTCCTCAGTTTAAGCTTTAGGTCTGTAGATGTATTTCAATTTTTTGTCAGAGCACTTTTTGTTGGGAGACTAAATGTTTAGTGCTCCTTTGCTCTTACAGAGTTATTATGTAGCATTAACGTGTTTTAGACTTCCTGCTCAGAGTCTTTGACATGTTTACACTTGAAGCCAGATTGTTGTCATCCAAAACAGCGATCGTGAGATCCTGTGAGCACAAACTCTGACTTCACAATCCATATCCAGTAAAAAAGATGTTGTCATGTATTGGTCAGGGTTGCTAAACTTGAAGGTTGAAAGTTGTAGTATAACCAGAGATGATCTGATATGTCACATTGATTTATGATATTGTTATTGATGTATATAAAGACTGATATTTTGCACTTGTTTTTGAGGATGATTAGATGATGTGTAATGATCCAAAATTATACTCAACATTTGAAAAAAGATGGGGCTGAACCAGGATTCAGAAGTAATCGCTTTTACTTTCCTCACTCTCAAATGATTTGTTGTCACAGGAGGCAGCCTACATATGACTTACCTTACTTGTCTCACCTCATTCCATTCAAGTATGGAGATCAAATTAAATAACCAGGAATGTATGAGTCTACGTCTAAAACAAGCCTTTGCACACTTCAATTGAATGTAATTGTAGTTCTTCCACCAAGTGATTACATCTGAATAAAGGGTTGACAGTATTGAACAATAAGCCCCTGAAGCTGATTGGAAAAGAGGTGTGTGCAGAGCCTCTCGTCATGAGGGTGACAACACATGACACCTAGCCTGTCCTGCTCCGGCTTTACCTCCCTCCTGAAACCTGGCTGCGGGCCAGAGCTGGGAACAATAGCACGTAGGGATGATGGCTAGAGAGATAAGGACAGAAAGAGGAAGTCTATCTTTTCTGCAGGCATACTAATGTAAATGGTAAAAGGATTTGTTTTATTTGCCTGTTTGCATATAGTATATATCAGCGAACTACATGTGTGGATCTGAAATCAGAATCGTACTTTGTTTGCATTTACTTTGGTTACTATCTGAGAAAGCTGTTGTTGTGATTTAGCCTCTCTTTGCTGCAGGAGTTATGAGCGGGTTATCTGCAAAGGGCAATTATGTTTATGATCTGCTGCGTAGATAAGCTTGAGTGACCGCACCTCACCTGTAACCTACATCTTTAATACACCATTTTAATCTAATTTACTTTTACTTTTATTTTGTCTCATAACGCTGTGATGTGCACGTAGTAAGACTCTGGTTGGAAGACTACTGCGGGAGGCATGCTCAGTGTCATAAGGTCACTATCCTGCCGCTTGTTTTTGCAGGACACTTAAAAGGTGACATAGGATCCAAACTCCAATTAATAATACAAACCGAACAGGTTGCCTAAAGGGATACATGGTCCTTTGGAATCTAAAACTCACCCAAGGTAGAAGGTGATTATTATCACCAGTGTAAGCACAATTCACTTTAACGTATGACCACTTATTATTGGTTGTATAATATAAATAATAGTTCGGAAACCAATCAGAGCCCAACTTGTTGTGTAACTGCCCCTTAGGGTCCATGGGTGTTTAGCCACGTTGTGCTGCGGACCTGATTACATAACCTTGTCACAACATGCCTTGACAGACAAGTCAGACGGAAGGTGTGGGAGGGTTCAGTTCTCTCATTTCCTGCTCCCGTTAGCAGATTTAAATGTAGCACTTGATGTTAATGATGAAATACTGAGCATTGCTGACTCTAAAACCGACCAAATGAATTAATAGCAGCTACGCAG